AATACAAAGCACACTCCCACTAGCAAGAAGTCACCCCATTATACCCACCAATGAGATTCAATTTTTATGCTCTTAAATAGAAACTAAGATTAAACCACACCCATTTTTTACCATCTTTACTTTTCGAGTCTGTCAGTAAATCATGACTGAGAGTATTTTAACATTCCTCTGAATAAAGACATGCTGGCACGTGCCACGTACAGCGAGCAGGAGAGCCACACAGGCAGTCACCAGTGCCCCCCTCTCCCTGCCCGTGCCCCCCCCCGCACGCTGCGCCGCTGCTCGGCGTCCGCAGGGCACATGGCAGCTGGATTTAAAAAAAAAAAACAAAAACCAGACTAACAAAAAAATCAACATAAGCTATTTGGGACAATTAGGTACGTGAAGAAGACACCGTGAAAACATCCTTAAATATCAATCCAGCATGGATCTTGCTTCGTGTGGCCACAGAAGAATGCAAGTTTTTCCTTAAAAAAATTGGAGTAAAAATGAAGAAAAAAAAAGGCAGATTTCAGAAGGTTATTGGTGATTAACAAATTTAAGCTGAAGCCTACTTGTTAAAAGTCTCTCCTAGTACAACATATTTCTGTTAATTACTGGCTAAGAACATGTCACAGTACAAACTTCTTACTGGTGTTTTTTCCTTGTTAAATATAATTGGTGCAGATATTTCAGCAGAAGCGATCGCTGCTCCAGGAAAAACCTTTTCACCCGTTATCATTTAAAGGCTATCTACAGCGTAGTTTTCACTGTATCAAATCAACATTTTAATACGATGCTCATTTATCCTATCAGCATCACAAGGACAAAATTAAATATAGCGGTTCTAAAATGTTACTGGTCAATTTAAAACAATATATCGAGCAGGTACAGCGACGTGGATCACAGTAGCTACCTACCAGCATCAGTCCCTGACATACAAACCACAAGTGAACTGGGAGGTTTAGTGGTAAATCTCAAACAAACAAACAGAAAAAACTCAGCACCAGCAGCCCCCCACCCACCCAAATATACAAAAACCTACTCGAAACACACAAACAAAACTATCAGGAAGCTCTTTTCCATACAGGACCACCCAGCACATCAAAAAAAGACACGAGATAAGATAAGATGGACTGATATTTTTCCTATCTGGCCAATCTTTATGCTTCAAGGCCCTTGAAGTTACAAGAATAAAACAGTATTAAGACATTCTTGTAAAATCCGGCATTTTTGAATCTCCCTTACATTACTATTCTTATTTATGCCAAACACGGTACAACTTGCTGAATTAAACTGACGTGTTCCTCCATTAAGTCTTTTAACCCAGTTCTCCACATACAGTTTTTTTTTCTGAAATCTTCATCTTAATGGCTCGATTTTTCAGATTTGGACTTTGACCAAGCAATTTTTTAATTATCTTTAAATAAGGAAATGCTTATGCTAATAGTAATGGAACACTGGAAAATGAGGTTGGCACATTTCTTGATTTTTTTTTTTTTTTTTTCCAGAAACTCTGGTTACTCCTCTGCCCACAAAATACATAACATCACACAAAAACTCAATTCCCATTTTGATGTGGCTTTTCTTGGTTTGATTTTACCCTCCCCTATAGGAAAAATATTCCCTTAGATGCTCTGCAGCAAAACTATACAAAGAGAACTGTGGACTTTTATCTCCTCATCCTACTCGCTTTAATGATCTGTGCACATCAAAGACTGATTAAAACCGTTTAAGCACTTCCATCACTGCAATCTCTTTAACGTCTTTTGGAAATTAAATTAAATACAGAAACAACAACAACAAAAAAAGATGGGAATGCACAAAGGTGTACAGCAACGATCAGCTACTGAGCTTTATAGCGATGTTAGTGTGGATGGTGACATACATGGAAATACACGTTTAGCGTTTCAAAGCATAATTTATAGAAAAACATTGCAGACAACCAAAATAAATATTAAATATTCGTTTAAAAACAAGAGGCTTGCAACAGGATCACGCTAAGGAAAGTGCATTCTGTATTTCTGACTGTTCCACGCAGCCCTAATTCTGACTGTTCCACACAGCCCTAAAGCACAAGAGGAAAAAAAAAAAACAAACACCGAATATAACTGCCTGCTAGGGTAAATAAAGCTATCACAAGTTGTTTCCAGATTTTCTGATGCTGGAGGACCAGTTACACTAACATTGCCTTATATGGCTTCAGGGCGGTTGCACAGTTATCTAGGAGTACGTGTCTATCTACGGGTAGGTACCTACTACCTCAGTATCTACACACTCCGTGCAGCTGGAAGGGCAACGAAACATCTGCTCTCATGTTCTCCTTCAGATTCATCTGGTTTCTCTATTTGAAACACACTTCCATTTCTCACACGGCTGCCCGATCGCGGCTCAGGATTCAGCTCTCGAAGGAAACACTCACATGTACCTGCTACACTTCAGTGAAAAGGTAGGAGAGACTGTTCCACGGTGGGAAATCTCAGAAGGAATCAAAACCGCTGAGTAAAGCATCATCTAATATGGAGCAATTTACTTTGGTGAAATCTTAGAATCCGAGCTAAGTGTAAGTTTACACAATTCCTTTTGTCTGAAGAGGTTTTTTTTAACTGGTCACTGGTTAGAAACACAATTTTCCCAATGTTTGGTTCTAAAAATTAAACATACTATTATTTTTTTCCTTAAAATTGGAAAACATATGTAAATAAAATGATGTATTCCTGGAGATTACAAGGTTACAAGACCTGGGTGCCTTCTCCTTGGAACACCATACGCAGTAAAAGTGACAGAATTTTACAGGCACTAAGCTTAGGGATTCACCTTGGTTTGACACACTCTCCAACACTCTTCCAACCCCAGCAGTCACCCCCCGAGAGCTTCAGGAGGGGCACAAGCACTTCCAGGGCTCAATTCTGCCCCTCCATGACTAAGCCACTAAATTTAAAAGCTGAGGAAAGTTTCAAATCCAGTCCAAAGGACAAGTATCTTAAAGCTACTCTTGGAAACTGCAGATAATGGGGGGAAACATCAATCCTCTGCAGGAAAATAATCACAGTGCTAACACTGAAGAGAACCGCACCATTATCCTGGCCTGTTGTCTCCTACGTCTGGTTTTTATGCCCCCAGTGCAGCACTGGGAATAAAAAGCAGGAAACTGCTGTGAGGCTGCAGAGGAGTACACCTATCCACAGGGAGAGATCTGGAATGATAAAACAGTCTCTCCTGAAAAATACGATCATTACAGGATCGCAATATTAGTAAAAGTACATTCCATATTTAATTATAAAACACGGAAAGCAACACGTTTAAGTAAGTTATCAATAATGCTACGATGAATAAAAACTAAGATGAACTAAGATCAATAAAAGGGGGCTATGAGCTGTCTAGTGAGGTATTGTTGGCACTGGCTACCACAGCTCAATAGAAAAGTGCAGGAAAACTTCTCTTAATGAGCTGTTAACAGAAGAAAATTAGTCCAAGACTTCGGGGCAAGAACTTCTCTTATTCAATGTTTGTACAGTACCCAGCACAAGGAGATTTTTTTTTTCCTTTTTCTCCTGTTGGTACCTGGTGCTACTGCCAGTTAATAATCCTGGTTTTACATTCATCAGCAAGAATTAATGAATCAAGTAATAACAAGAGACATGACAACTTGAAGAACTACAAGCTATTGCACTTGAGGAGAAAATACAGATCACTACATTAGGGAAAATAAAGGTCTGAAACACAAAGTTGGAGAAAGAAACTTGGAAAGTAGTAAGAATTTGAGAGCCTGGGGAGATGGCAGACACCAAATTAGCCACGAGTGCATGAGGCAAACAATATCACAGCTATGGGGAAAATGGAATTTTGGACGGCACGTACGAAGCTGGCACAGAACCAGACAAGGAAGCAAGCCGTGCTACGCTGCAGCTATGTGCTGTGCTAGGCACCTCTACAGAAGTCATCAACAACATCACATTTTTATTTCAGAGAGCACCAGTACAATTATTCGAAACGGGAAACCTTAATTCAACAGGAATACGGACATCTAGTTCAAGTATCTAAAACCAGAATAAACCTGGGTTCCCACAGGAGAAAAATACACAGAAAGAGAGCAGTACGACTTTAAAACTTCACACTGACTAAACTTACGAGAAAAGCTTTATGACAGGAAGGAACACGAGCCTGTGCAGTTACGTCTCTCCTAAGCAGTGACAGAACCCCTATCATTTCACAAGCTGGAGAGCATCTTTTTAGTCATTAGTAACTGCAGAGAAGGAACAACCCTGCAAGAGAAGAATAATTGCCAGATAAATTCTTTCATCTTTAGTTTTGCAATTCTATGAACTTGATTTCTTATTTTCTTATTTTAAACACAGTTAGCAATAGATTCTACACACATCTAATCCTGCTCTGAAGGTAATCTGTTAAAGTTTCCTGGCTTGTTTCCAGACATCCTATGGCCTCTCCATCTCCCCACAATTTGGGACGTTATTTCCTCACTGCTTAGCAAAGACAACATCAACATCATTTCCTTCTTAATACAAACTCCAAGGGAGACATTAAAAATCAAATGACAGGTGAACTCAAGTTTAGTTACTTCTTAACCTCTGTTGAAGGTAACCATGAGACTATAGTAACACTAGCAAAAGGAAATATGCCTGTAGAACAAACCACATGTGAGTAACAATCTGAAATTATGTGGCTGAGAACAATTACTGTAGCAGAAAAGAAACCTCAAAGTCACTAAAAATCTCAAGCCTATTCTTACACCCTCGGACTGACAGACCCCAAATACGACACTGCGTAAGGAACTTTCCTCCTGGCTCTACACAGACATCGCTGCTGGTAGGTGGCCTCTTTGAAAAGATGCTCGTACACTTTCCACGGCTCAACAAGGGCAAAACCTGCCTATAGGAGAGGTGCTCATTCCATGTCTCAACCCTCAAGATTCAACCAGGGTTAATACTTCTACCTTCAACATTGTAGATTTCTGTTGATCTGCAGCAAAGAGTGAGACTAGTAATGATTAAAACACTCACAAAGCAAGAGGATGAGCAGGAAGGAAAGGAAGGGAGGCATCGGAAGCGGTTATGATTACGGCAACTCTTATAAGCACTGAAAATGCAGACAGGGGACAGGAGCTTCACCATCACTTGGTCACAGAGTCCCCTCTCTGCTTCAAAAGACGCCGTGACCTGCCCCCTCCGTCAGTAACGCACAAGCCGTCCGCGTCTTTCGTCACATCCGACATCCAGCAGCAACCACGGTGGAAAACAAAGTGCAGCAGAACATCCTTGCCAGCTGCTGTGAGCTAGAAAAGGAAGAAGGAACTAGTGCGTACGTGCCAACTTATTATCTACCAACTGTAACATCAGGACAGATTTCTGCTGCAACTATTTTATCTACACAACCCGAACAATGCAAAGCGTATGGCGTTTGCAGATAAAATTCTGTGGCATCTTCTCATTAAATTGTTGGGTCATAGCCACGCAAAAAGCATTTCTACATTCCAGCTTACTAAAAAGACAACCTAGAAATCCAAGTGGTATTTCACTGAAGTTTCATCACGCTGTATCAAGCTCAGATCATTAATAACTGGGAAGAGAGCGATACACACAAACATGAACTACTTTTTTTGGTTGCCGTGTGCACCTTCTTGCACAAAAACCTACCCCAGGGGCTCAGTCTTGCTCTCTCCGTGTTTGAGAAAGGAGAAAAGTCATAAAATGAAGAGTGCAGAGATCTTTGTAGGAAATATTAGGGATCTGAAAGCGGTTTTGAGACTAGAGTTGAAATTCACTGTTTTCTTTCAGGATGGTTAAAACTTCAACAGAGAGCTGGCTCCTGCACCAAGCCGCAAATACGCTGTACAAGCAGTTAGGAAATCATAAAAAAATTAACATTGATACGTTAATAAAGCCAAGATATCAGTAACACCAAAGGGTAAAATCTTCTTTCTGGTTATTGACCAACAAGAACTGCATGATTACCATTACGAGCCACTGAACAATTCCAGTGTAATACCCATACACAGCACCTCTGTGACTAACATATATCACACCTTGCTGAGGCAGATGACACAACAGCAGCGCTCCGAGTTTAACAATGTTCCTCTCATTAGAGGAGATATCAAAATGACAAATCAAGTCTACAACCCCCCCTCCAAAGCACTTGACCAGAGCCTATTTTGCAATAACACCCCCAGGCTGCAGAGCACTGTGTTCCAGTGACTTACGAGAAGTATTCAGAAGTTCTAAATAAACGTAAGGAACCAGAAATACACCCATGAGGGGAGAGGTTCGGGAGCTAGAAGGGAGCTGGCAACAAGGTGACAAGCAAAAGCACAGACTTGAGCAGAACAAGTTAATTTCAAAGACGACTGATGCTGAGTAAGTGCCTGTTCAGCTCACACAGAGGCAAGTGGGAGGTCTGACTGACATCAGTGGAAACATGTGAACATTTAAAACCATCAGAGTTTTCGTAAGTAAATGATCAAACAAGCCTGTAATAAGCCGAGGAGACAGCCTTGTGAAATAGAGGGGTCTACACCGGCTCAGCGGAGCTCTCTTTTCACCGGCACATTATCTTTGCAGGCTGTGCTTGAGAGAGGGGTGTAAGCACTCCCAGTTTTCCCCCAAAATGAAATGAAGCACTTTCTCATTTCAAGAAGGGAATGAAAGACACAGCAAGTGGAAGCACTAATATCCGCATCACACATTTCAACACCTTCTCGCTTTGTTTTGTCCATCGGAAAAACAACAAAAAAAAACCCAACCAACACTTGTCAGCCCAAGTTCCAGAAACGCGAAACGATTGCTCCTTTGATTACGGAGTAGAACACAATCCTCATGGGGGCTGATGCTTTACGTAACAACTATCCAGTCACTCACCAGGAGGATGCGATTGCCCGTCAATAACCCCGCGAGTCTCCCTTCTCCTGACCTTCGGCAGCACCTACCTGAAGCCATTTCCTCTGACCACCCCGCACCCAGCAGCACCCAGCCCTGCCCGCTCCATCCCCAGAGCGGCTCAGGGCCTAAAACGCAGAGAGCAAAGGGGAAGGAACAAAGCCCTGACGTCAATTACTGGAAAAGGATTAACCCCCCGCCCCCCCCCGCCGCGGCTCACTTTTCGGGGAGCTTTCCCGGCCCGCC